GTTTGTTTGCCACCTATGTACTGAGCCTGGCCTGGGCGTTCCAAGGGCACCACGGGTCTGTCCTTGCTCTTGAGAACTCGGATTCCAGCTCGATTCCGTAAGTCCTGATGGTGCTACTGCGTGAAAGATGCTAGGATCAGGGGAGGGAGGCTGGGAGGAAAGAGGGGAGGAGGCTCCCGCGGGGAGGTGAGGGTCCTGTAGGCGTTCAGGGCAGGGAGGGCATCCCTGGAGCGGGACCAGCAGGTGCAAAGGCCCAGAGGCACGGTGTTCAAGGCAGCCAGGGCCGTCGGGGCCCGGCCCTCCTGGAGAGGATGCCGCGTTTGGGGGAAACCCGTCTCAGGACTTGTCCCTCGTCCTCTGGGATGGTGCAGAACTTTGTTATGGGTGGAGAAGATGGACCCAGCCCATGCTGGGCCTTGGGTGTTAAGAGGTGGGTACTTGAGACTTTGCTGCTCACCAGAGGGGGGGGATGCAGAAGTGGAGGCGGGATCGTGAGGAGGCCCGCCTGGAGGGAGTGCAGCGAACCCAGGCCTGGAGGCTGCACCTTCAGAGTCGCTCTCGCTGATGGCCGGAGAGTCAGGAAGGCTCTGATGGGGCGGGGCCAGGGTTCCAGTGCCTGTCCTGCAGGCATGCCGCTCTGCCAGGGGACTGCCGACACGGTGTCTGGCCGTGTCCTAGCCGGCGAACAGTCCCACGGTGGCCTCAGCACAGCCAGGCCTCGCTCCAAGATGCCCGCAGGGAGTCGGCCGGCAGGTGTCCCGTCCGGCTCCTCTGCTCCCCAGCTCGCCTTCCCGAAGCGGCTCTCCCCGCCTTGCCTCCAGGCCCCGCGCGGGGCACTGGGACAGGCCTGATGGCTCAGTGTTTGCTTAGCCCTTGCTCAGCCTCATGTCGCCTGCTGAGACGATGAGTCAGGACATTTGACATTTTTCGCGGAAAATGTTTCGGTCTCATCACTGCCGGCTAAACACCCTTTGACCTCCACTAGGGACCGAGACTGCTCAGCCAGGGAGGCCGAGAGAGCCTTGGGCCAAACCACGTCTTGCTCTCTTTTGAGCCGAGGTCGTCCCGGCGGGCGGAAGGGATTGCTCCGGTTCCGAGGTTGTTTTCAGCCCGGATGTCAGTTCTGGCTGGTGGGATGCCCAGGGCTATGGCTTCATCTGCGGACAGGCGTCCTCCTCGACTCACAGGCTGGGCCTGCAACGGGCCTGGGCCTGGTGGCATCGTTCTCGATGCATCCCTGGAGACAACTGCACGGTTCTTTGGACCCCGGGGAGACTTGGATGAGCTCTGAGCAGCCACAGACTCTGGCAGCTCATTCCCTCCTGGAGAGGAGAAGAAAGTCCAGGCAGTAGCTAGCCTGCGGCAGAGGACCGTGGGAGGCCACAGCAGGCAAATGCGGACAAGACTCCTGCTGCAACTCCAGGCCGACTGGCTGCCTGATGAAGCCTTCCGCCCTCGGGTGTGGCCCGGTGGGCCCTGGCACCTCACACTCCCCTCCGGGGTCAGGGTGGGGGTGGGGAAGGAGTGAGGAAAGGACAGCACGGCCCCAGGCAGAGGATCCCAACACGAGAGCTGGCGTCCACACAGCTGTGCCTCTGGATCCTGGGACAGTGTGGGCTCAGCCTCTCGAGTTTCTTGCTCAGCCTTCCATCCGCCTTCTGTGTGTCTGCTGAGGGCTGACCGTGTATATGGCAGACGGGGGAGCCAGTCCCGGTCACGCAGAGCGGAGCGGGACAGATCTGAGTAGTCTAGAGGGGAGGAAGCAGCCACAGGCTCACCAATAAGATGAGAGTCTCGAGGGAAGACAGGGATGCCGGAGCCTTTGACAAGAGAGCCGACCCCCGCTGGCGGAGGGGGCATGGTGGCCTTCTGGGTGCGGCGACGTTTAGTCCGGTGTGTCAGGTGCGGGTTGAAAGGCGGTCCCGTGAAGAGGTGAGAGAGGCGAGTGGCAGGCAGTGGCAATGAACATGCAAAGGCCCCGAGGCAGGAGAGGGGAGGGTGCTCGGCCACAGGGGATGGCTGGGGCAGAGCCGGCCCGCTGGGCGGGAGAAAGACACGGCCAGGAAACAGGCAGGTGCGGGATGGCAGACGGCCTAGAGGTGCCGTTCCTGAAGGATGTGGGCTCCACACCCAGGTCTCTGGGAAGGCTGGCATCATGTTAATTGAGAGAGCAACGTCCTGAGGCTGCAGGCCCACGTTTTACAGAGATCTCTCTGGCCGGTGTTCAAGGAAGCCTTGAGGGCAGAGCCAAAGGGGGAGCCCACGCTGGGGCTGGTCAGGGGGTGGGGCGGGCTTGGGTCCAAGCAGCAGTGGGGACAGAGGGCTGGGTGGTGTGACCTCGGCCGGGGGGACCATGAACAGGGCCGCGGTGGGGTTGGACGTGGGGTGGTCGGGAGAGACGGCTTTGGGCAGAGACCCAGGGAGGTGAGGGGAGGTCCGTGTGGGTGGCACGTGGGGCGCACTTCCGGGGGAGGAGCGGTGAGGGGAGACATGTGGGGGTGGCGTGTGTCCCGTGCTTCCAGGCGGGCCGCGCCGCGCATCGGGACGGAAGGTG